AGAACTAGTATTTGTTAAATTATTTCAGGACCGATTGGAACTAGTGTTACCCAGTATTGGAAATCTTATGTTCTTATGAGAACATCCTTTTAGATTTGAGAACATTTGATATTCTATATATGTTCTCTATGAAAAAAATTCCGAGAACATGATGCTGATAAAGCATGTTCTCTAAGTATAATAGCAAAATTCCAAATGGAATAGAAATCTGAATTTACTTGAAAGAAAAATAAATGAACATAAAATACAAGAAGGGTGAGATAAATATTAAAACAAATGTTCGATATTTTCCAAAAATTGGGATATCAATAAATTTTAGTTATTAAATGTTAAGAACATAAATAAAATTTTGAGAACATTAAATCAAATAAATATGTTCTTATAAGAACACAAATCTCAAAACAGATTTTCAACACTGGAGTTACTATTGAAATTTGGGAGAGCGTCAGATAGGTCAGTGCCAAGATAGTCAGGGTGATAAACGAATGTGTAATCTGTCGGGACAGAATGTAATGTATCAAATCAAAATAAAAGAAAAACTAATAAAATAAATAAAACCAAGAATAAACTTTGGCTAAACTAAAACTGCACAAAGCATAACAAGAAGTATGTTTATTATATATATTTGGGAGGAATGTCTACTCAAGACAAAAACCTCAAACAAAACATTGAGACACCAAGCCCAAGACAAAGAACTTGCCTTTACAAGAGGGTGAAGACATAGGGTTTATATACATGTCAGCTAACTAGAATTTCTAACAATGCAATACTTGTCTAACATCATTTCACATTACTAATCTTTATTTACTGCCAACACCAATCATACTTTCCATCACATCAAGGTTCGAATTTAAAAGTTGCACTCAACCAATTTATCTTGGAAAACAAAGTCCAACTTACCAATATGTAATGCTGACTGGCCCAATTCGTAGATTAAATATAAGATACAAGAAATGGGAATATCAGGGTAAGAGTATAGAGAAACAAATAAGGAAGGGGTAAATAACAAAAATGGAAACAAAAGATATCTATATATAGTAATAACGTAGGGTGAATATAAGGAAACTAATAAGAAAGGGCGAATAACAAAAATAGAATCAAGGTGGGACAATGGCAAGACAATCAGAAGCAAGATCATTCGATACTTTTAAGGAAGATTATAATAATATTACAGGGGCAAAAATAAGGAATAACAAAATTTTGGGTACAAAAATATTACGATAGTAATACCGGTTAGCATATAGGCTAATTTCTGATTATTGGGCTCTGAATAGAGTCACTAAATTCAGTTTAAACCCCTTGTTTGATTGTTTTTTATTGGTCTAACGCATTGTTAGGGTGATTGATTTGATTTTTCGAGGGTCTTTTCTGTACAATTATGCAAGAAGGATATAACGAATATGCATTTAACCCATTAGATTATCTTAAAACCCATCAGATTATTGTCTAATTATTAGCCTGGGCCTACCAAGATATGCTGTTTGACTTTGTCATTGTTATGAGTAAATAGTCAAAATAACCCTTTCACCTCATTCATTCAGACAATTGTATTGTTAAACGACTTGACCCACTATAAAAAATTTTTAGGATATGGGGTTCTCTCTCTTGCATTACTATACATATTAGCCCATATGGGACAAATTAACGCCTCTGGTTTGTATTAACTATAATTTCTATTGTAAGTAAGTTCTGTAAAAGAATTCTTATAGTATTTCATAATTGAAAATATGATAATTTAGAATAGAAGTTTTGTAAAAGAATTTCTATAGTTCTTATAGTAGAGGAGCTATTATTTCTATGTAGGATAACTCAACCTCAATCACATACTGTGGTCATCAGAATAGCAAATGAATTTGTAATAACCTTAACTATATTTATTGGTTTAGTTCTTTAACAGAATAATTTATAGTAATCGTGTTAAAAATCATAATAACTCTAATGCCTAATATAATCTTAATTTCATTTTGTGTGTAGACAAGTTCTATAATAGATTTTTTTATAATAATTTATAGTAAGTTTAAAATGCTGTATAAGATGGGTGGTACAAATGCACCACCATCGCACTAGTTTTATTTTATACATAAACGATAGCAGATTTAATGCGTCTCAAAATTGAATTAATTCAACACATTTTAATTTATATTTTATTGAATTTGATACACAACTTAAAGTACAAATTTGATGTATTTCAGTCAGGGAATATTCCAAAAATGGACATTGAAGATCACACCTTTTATAGTATAAGGATGTTGATCCGAAAATTCTAGATTTTATAGCACATGAGCATTAACCAATCAAATTAATCCAACTTTCTATATACAAATAAATTATTAACGAAGCTACGTATAAGCAAGGCTTCATTTTTATTAAAGACTCTATATAATAATTTTATTCTACTTAATTACGACTGCCTTTACTAATTTATATTGCAATATTTAGTTTGTAGTATTAAACAATACCACACATACAATATGCTTATTTAGTATTATTTAACAATACCATCTATACAACAATTTACAATCTAAATCTATTTAAAATATCTCAAGTGTTTTCTTCCATGAACTATATTGATACCTATATGATAGTTAAATTAAAAATATAAAGTTTTAACAAAATAAACTCTTAACTTTTATTTAAATATAATACAAAATCTTAAAACTACTTTAAGTTAACTAATGACGATTCTTAGCTTCCTAAACAAAGTATATACCTGTTTTTAACGTTTCATTTACTTTTTTGACAAGGGTTGATCAACGTTGATTAACTTTGATTATTTAAACTAGACGCCTTGAACTACATCTTCAAAGGTTATTAAACTCGAATAGTTATTAAAAAAAATTTTTTTAAAATGTAACGATGTTTGAGGGCAAAAGGCACGTGAGAGCCAATCAAATTCAGAGATCCGTTTGTAGATCATTCTAGAACGTGATTTCTTAATTTGGTAAATCCCTGACTGTATTTAAATTCGAATGTATAACGTAGAAATAGATTATGGAAATTTCAAGATCTTTATATAAATACGGTGAAAGGACAATAACAATAATGAGTTATTATAATTGTTTTATTTAATAAGAGATAATGTACAGTACTTTATTTAATAGAGAATAATACATTTTGCTTAATTAAAATAATAATACATTTTATTAAATGAAGAATGACCAACACCGCATCAATAAATTAGAAAATATTAGATAAAAAGATCTTAAATCGATATTGAGGTATAAAAACGCTCACCAAAAGTATTTAGTACGCCAAATACTTGCAATAAATCCATCGCACAAAAGTGCAAACCAAAAAATTTGAAATACTAACATAGCTAAAATTGTCACTTCGAAATTAGTATAATTAAAAATTTATTGTTTGATTAACAGTAATCTATTTTTTCGCTTATGATACATAAAGATCTCCGTTGAAAATACTTCAGCACACCGATACACATGTCAAAATTGAAAATCATACCAAAGTTTAAACGGATGAGATAAATTGTGGATTTTTAATTATAAAAATGGTTGCGATTAAAGCGCAAGTTAATAATAATTAACTTTCAGTAACACTTTCGATTTTTATAGCATTCTGTGTGCGACTTTTTTGCCTTACAAAGCAATTTTAATATTTAGAATAAATCTTTTTTAAAAAAATGTTGCCAAAAAATACTATTGGGTTAACGAGGACCACTGAATATATGCTTGTCGTACACTTAAACTAAAATTTTTTTAAAAGTTTGTTGTACGATTACGAAAATGTGCTTTTTTTGATAGGAAATTTGCTTAACCTTTAACGTACACTTAATTAATATTATTAAATAAAGAATGGTGTACACCTACTAATTATGTTGAATTGGTATATCGTACAGTACATAAAAGAATAGATGTACTACGGAAAGGTCCGAATAGAAAATGAATAAACATAAATTACGGGCAAGGTTGAGTTGAAATTTCGAGAAAACATCCGAAGAATTCCGAATAGCAAACTCAAATATTTTTAATAATAAATTTATTTTTATTTGTGCACTTTATTAAAGTATAGAAAACTTATATTAAACTTCTGTCGTACATTAAATATATAGCTTTAAGTCAATGTACACTTCCATAATAAAATTTATTTGTATACTTATATAAGGTTTGAAGACAAAGGTTTATTTATATAGCACATTGGTATCCAGGGCCCTGATTAGCGTTAAGGAGTCAAATTGGAAACTAGTAACATTAAATCATCTCTTTGGGGTAAAACTTTAATCGATTATTGGCAATGTAAATCGCATGATATATCGTACTACATTTGGGATGCTAATTCGGCCTCATTTGAACGATTTTTGATAAGCTGAACACGATAAGATAAATTGAACGGTTTTTGATAAGCTGAATAAGATAAGATAAGATAAATAGGGCAATTCATAGGTTTTCTTTACTGTATTATCACTCATTTTATTAATTAAGTTAGTGATAAAACACTCGCTTAAATAAAAAAATGATTATGTAATATGTCAAATATTTAAACAAACATTTTGCGTTTAAGAATTATGATCACAACAATTTATTAAAAGATGCATTAGATAATTAAAAAAAGAAAATAGAACTATTTGAAATAAATTATAAATAGTAATTATACGAATATAGGGTTTATTGGCAGCATTTTGTTTTGTGAATTTGAGAAAGTCTCAAATTTAGTCATTGATATTTTAGTTTATTGTACTTAAATATGTGTTATCTTATCTCTATTAATTAATTAGTTCTAATTTAGCATCTCAAATAACAAGGTAGTGAAACGAAAATTTACCAATTATTAGATAGATTCCTGCGCGATTTTAGTATATATATTAATAAAACAAAATAAGAATCGTGGGCTCTCTCTTCACGCATTCATTTTTCACTTGTTCAAACTTATATCATTTACAGTCAATCTATCCTATCCTTTATATAAATTGACAGTATTTGATTCATACCGTGTATACACTTACTAAAAAAAATTAATTCATATAATTCAGAATAACCTAACAAAAAATGGGAAACAAAATATCTCGTCAAATTGCGAAGAGAAAAAAATCCACACGAACTAATTCATCTGGAGAATCATCTAGTGATAGTAGTTCAAATATTCAATTAACGCCGCAATTGAGGACTTTAGCCGGTCGACCTTATTTTGATGAAAGTTTTTCTTCATATATTGTAAGTTATTTTAAAATCAATGGATGCTTTTTTTTTTAAACTTACAAATACTTTGGCATTTTCTGGTAAAGCTTCCTGCAGATTGGGAAGAAGCTGATAGAGTTCAAGCGCTTCATTTCGTTCTGAAACACATGTTTAATGGAAATTACTGTGCAAAACTTTCAGATATTATTAAGCCTGGAAGTAAAATTTTGGCAAGTATTCAAAATTTCATTATTCATATTTAATACGTATATTGAATCTTAAATAATTTTTATTTATAGGATATTGGATGTGGACCCGGACACTGGAGGTAATCTTATAGCTATTTTCAAATATAATATAGAATATTAATTTCCTAATTATTTAAATTATCGTGTATTAATTAGCTTCGAAATAGCACAAGAATTTCCCGAAGCAGATGTCTATGGCATAGACATAGCATCATCTTTCCCAAACCAGATAAAACCTAACAATTGTCATTTTCAAACATGTGACATACTTGAAGGTTTACCATTTGATGATAATGAGTTCGATTATGTTTTTATGAGATATATGAGTGTATCGATAAAGAAAGATCAATGGCTGTCAGTGTTAAAAGATATAAAGAGAGTGATGAAACCTGGTGGTGTTATTGAAAGTGTAGAGCTTAATTCTTTTCGTAAGTGTCCAGTCAAAAATGTGGAGATGTATATTAAAACAACTATGTAGTTATTCATCATTTTTCTTATAAATTAGCATACTCAATGGGTCCGGTTATGATTCAATTTATGAATAAAATGAGTACGTATTCAGTATTTTTTTTCAAACATTGTTTAATCAAAATTTTAATTTTTATAATATCAATTTTAGATGATGCAATGATCGAAGTTTTAGGTATGGAACTCCAAGTTAAACTTGAACCGATGTTTAAAGAGTTAAGTTTTCAAAATGTAACTAGCATTAGTAAATATATATCACTTGGAAAGTAAGTTATACATTTTCTTAAGAAATTCTTTTTTATTTTATAATAAAAATTTAATTGATTGCTTTCTTTTTTTTAAAAAAAAGATGGGATGAAAATACTGGAAAAATTGGTCAAATATGGACTACAAATACGTATCAAATGGGAGAGTCGGCTAAACCAATATTAGCGGCAGCGATGAACCTAACCGAGGACGAATGGGATCGTATGCAAAAAATAATATATTTCGAAGAGATAGATAAATATCATTCATATCAAGAACATTATATCGTTTTGGCTACTAAAAATATTTAAGTTTTTTTCAATATTTATATACGTTATACGAATCTAATTCTATGATCTACTTACGTAACAATAAGAATACACATAATTTTAAACTATGCTTTAGTCATTGTATGCAATTAAAAATAAATATATAGTTAATTATTCCTATAAAACATTCTATTTCGACGACCGGAGGAAACGTTGAACGTCATAAAATTGTTACACAATTGATAAAAATTTTTTTTATATTATTTTACAATACTTTTTT